TCGGCCAGGCACCGAAAGGGTGTTGCAGTCACTCCCTATTCCGTCCAATACGCTTACTCAGCGAGGAATGCCATAGAAGCTTATCGATATATGTTACCTGGATTGTGATACTTTCAGGCGCTTCGTAGAGGCCTCTAAGGCAAAGCGGGGTCCGACAAGTATGCTCACTCCGTTTCTCCACCTTGTGATCGGAATACCGAGGCAAACTCTGGAAGGTCTTCAGAATTCTAGTGTTCAAATAACTACTGGCGAAAATCTTGTGGATCTGGAATATGCAGACATCTCTGTCGCATACAAACGAACCGTATAGGGGCGATCATTAATGGACAACCATCCAAGCGCAGATCGCTCAGGTCTTGGTTTAATACAATACTAACTCCTGTAGATCTATTCTCGGCGGCTTCTGGTTCGCCACAGTTACCCAGCCGGAAGCGTGACAAAACGAGGGGAAAGTCAGTTCAGCAGTTGTACCTCTGGATCCTGCGTCTCGTTTCGGAGACAGCATGCATCAGTAGAAGGTGAATCCAACGTACAAGAAGAGCAGTCTATCATCCAGTTTGTTAAAGACTGCCAAATGGACTGGACGCAGGGGTTTGTAGGTTGATCTCCAAGTGTCTACGGCCGCATTAAACTAGCAACAATGGGCCACCAATAAACGCATAAGTTCTTAAGAATGGATATCGATGTTATCAGCCAGCATTTCTAATGCACAGCTGTCTACCCCGACTCAAATGATCGGCGACCTGTGGAAGCTATAACCACCGTACGAAAAGTACGTGGGTTTTTATCGATGGTGGTGACGAAGATGCAGCACTGGTCCGGGCAAGAAGGGAGGAATAAGTGTGTGGAAGAGAAAGAGCGGTGTCAGCGGTAAGCATTTTTTCGCTCACCCACTCTGCTCTATGCGGCAAGTAAGGTCACTCAGCTGATGCTATCCTGCGAGCGACAGGTTACCCAGCCTAGGCTTCCCCTCTCTAAAATCGGACAACCTGGCAGTATCCTAGCTATCGTGCTTCCATCGGGTGGCATGGCAGCTAAGCACCGAAAGAGTGCCACAGCTGAACAATTATTATCATCCTATTTTTCCATGGGGCTTTCGTGTTTGTGTAATTCATGCATGTATATGGACTGGGATAATGCTGCGGTCTAGACGAGAGGATGCTTGCGGTCCTCAACCAAACTGACCGCAAGACTGGTTGTTGTGAGATCGCTGGAGCAGCAGTTATGAGGAGCGTGTTGCCACATTTTCTAACCCCTAAAATGAAAAACTAGAAAACCGTGCTATTGAAAAGTCTATCGAGAATGATTGCACACTGATATGATCATGAGGATTCTCGCGGATTTTCGCAAGCCATAACTTTCGGAGCACCATCCAGTCAATATCTGTGATAGCCTTGCCACAAACCACCGTGTTCGGACTGTTATGATTCGATGTAGCTAACAAACCGAATCATTTGGTAGAAGATAATCAAAGCAAATTAGAGCAAGTGGCTGAACCGTTGCTAGAACTTTTTATCCCAGTGGTCGGAGAGCAGTGGGTCATTGTTGTCAGATAAGTCAAACGACGGTATGGTCACGAGCTGTGAAGATCTTGTCTCACCACTGAACACAGCTGGTAGATACCGTTTACCGGGTTGGATCAACGAGCCGATTGGCCACCCTAGAGAGCTCCGCTGTCTGGTTTTACTCATAAACCGATTTAGCAACTCGTTCTCTTGGCTTTATATTTTTCCATCAGTGGTTATGTAATCCAGCCCCTAGGTGCAATGTTTACTTTAGAAACCAAACAGTGATGATATCGAGTGTCCTCGACAACTTTGTACTGACCGCGAGTTGTTTCTGTCGGTGTAAATGCAGTGGACTTCGTTGTTCCTTTGAAGCTAAACAACTGTGGAGTTAAGTTTATCAGATAGTCATCACCTACCAACTGGTAAGTTCATTCTTTCAGTCAGTCAATCTGGGCTAAGAACTTTAACCTAGACCGTGTTCTTATCCGGCTCTTTTCGATGGACCTAAGGAACAAACACACCATCAGTTAATAGAGGTGATTTTTAGTCCACAAAGTAAAGCTCTACGAGTGCCTTTTTCAGAAGATACTGATCCTGAAATACCCACAACTGTGCACGACGCCAAGAGCTGTGTTCGTTGTTTTGCAGGGCGTGTGAAGCGCAGGTTTTCAGAACGGCCATTGTCGCTTCTGATACGCTGTATCCACTTGTGTTCAGAGCGAAATTCTGTTAGATTGTTCATTGGGCTAGTGTAGGCTGAAACTATACCGTGACAAATGAAGTCAGTGCTCGCACTGGCAAACGTTCAAAGTTTGTCGATTCACGTCATCTGCTTTTAAACGAATTTTCACGTGGACTAGATTGTCGTGTATAACAGATGACTGAAAGCTATCTTGAGGGTTGCGGAATTTGGCCCCTCCAATCCGCTGATTTTGAACGCCTTCAAACCTCTGATCATCCACGTCTTACAGCAGGAGTCAGCTGGCTGCGTAAGCGAGAATTTCATGATAAATTAAATTTATTTGAGCGCAAGTAAGGCTTGTCGGAATATAACTTGGCTGGGACATGTACTGTGTATGACCTGCTAACGGGAAACCCCTGTTTTTACTTGAAACCCATGCTGGAGAAAGATTTGATGGGGGTAGTCTGTGGAGCGGCTACTCGGAATGAAATCGGCTAGAGTTTAACTTGACACTGGGATTATGAGGTAGCAAATCACATTAAGTCTGTATAGATACGCTGGTGGTACATCTCACTGTAGCCTTAGTTACGCACTACTTGTCTATTAGTTTGATCGGGTGGTGAGTACGGCCAAAGGAGCTTAGTCACCAAGTCTTAAGAAAATTCTTCTGCAGACCTCGTGTATCCAAATAATTTCCACTGCTTTTGTGCTACAGACAAGCAGTCTTTGATCGGGTTGGAGCCCCAAGGGGCGTTCGTTGTCCTTATCATCTCTGGCCTTCACTCTAAGAGGGTTGGCCAGCATTGCTTCGGCATTCCCTGGTTCGTCTACTTAGTTCCTCACGTTATCGTATACC